GGTCATGTGTTCTAAGGCCCCTGATGGTCTCTCTACCCCTCTTTTGGATCCTACAATTTTTCAAGATCCCTGGTAAACTGGGGAACCTAAAACTGGGAGCATACTTGAAGGTGCCTCACCAGTGCCTAGTCTGAACTTTGCTGCATACAACATAATTTGCTTTATTTGCAATGATGCCAAGCTGAGTGTAAGCCACCATGCTCTCAAGTGTAACCTCCAGGTTCTTTTCATGTATCAAATGTGACTGTAAGTTGGTTTATGCTGTTGGAATTCACAATCATTACAGACCAGATAATTATAAAAAGTCTTAGCAGTATAATAAGAAACAGGTTGATCTGAGCTTTTGTTTTGCTCATTTGATTGTTCTAATACAACTGCTTTCTGTACTAGTTCAGTGCTGCACCAAACTCCTCTCTGCTTCTCTGTGTGCAAGCAAATGAGGTCCTCTGGGAAAACACACTCCCAATCAACTTATTGAAAAGCCTTTTGAGCAACTCATAAGCATTTGTCTGGTTAATTTCCATTAACTAAATTACCAAGTGAAAACTAGATTGTGGATGGCTTTTATCTATCCATAAACTCATCATGACTGCGGCTTCGTAGTAAAATGTTGCATGTGTTTTTGAAGGGATAATGTCACTTAGAAATATTGAAGAACATAAGTACGAACCTCAGATTATAGGCTGGCTTCCTGATTTTTGTAAAGATGCTCTTTGCCATTTTTTCAGATAGAAGCAATGGTAGAAGTGAAGGGTGAAAACCAAATTCACTGAAAGAGCTGTCTCATGAGCTAATGGCCTTTCTTTTCAGGTATGTATGCTGCCATGCCACGAGACATCCTGTTGGTGGTGGGAAATGAAATTATTGAAGCTCCTATGGCTTGGCGTGCTCGTTTCTTTGAGTACAGAGCATATAGGCAACTAATCAAAGAATATTTCAACTGTGGTGCTAAGTGGACAACTGCACCTAAACCCACAATGGCAGATGAACTCTATGATCAGGTATCGGTCTCACTTTTTTTCAGAATTCAAGTTCTGGTTTCACAGAATTTTGCTTGTTTCAACCTCGTATTAATCTTTCACAAAAACCTACAAGAATTAAGAAATAATGTAATTTCTGTGTATTTTTAAAATAATGCTTGCAAGCATTATGAATGCTCTCCAGATGAAACTTAGTGTGCACTAGTAGGGATTAAGAAAGAGGAAGTTCTACCTGTTCGAGTCTGCTTGGAATTATTTTGATAACTGGCTCTAATTTAGCATTATTGAAGAGGAAAGACCACTAGGATGTTAAGAAAGTTATTTTAAAGAAATACAGTTGCCAGAGAATGTACTTGTTAGCTGAGTTTATCAGGGAAGTGGAGCCTTCCCCCGTATGCAGAAAATACCTCATAATTCTTGTTTTGTGATCAATAGTATTTTTGAAGTTATTCTGGTAGTTCTTTTCAGATCCAAGAATGCCTAAGGTTGAGGTATAGGCCTTTCGTCTACAGCGATGTGTAGTAGGGTTCTGTAGAACGTTTATAACTGCTTAGGAACACTGACAGAAGTTTCTTATTCAATAGAATTACCTTAGAGTAAGGTAAGCATTAGATTAACTTCCACAGCTTATTCCAACATGTGCTTTTTCATCTGGTAGCTTTTGTGGTGTTTGTTCCACCCTATTTGTTCTTAATTGTATCGTTTGATGCTAGAATGTGTTTACATTCCTGAAGATCTTCCTTCTAGGTTAAAGTACTGCTCCATTCCAAAAACGTGGAAAGTACAGAGTCTACTTCTGTTAGGAAATGGTTTGCATACTGTGTTTTTCTGTCACTGTGATGTGATTTGTTGGACTGACAGATATACAGTGTTTTTTGTTAAATTTCAACATGGCTCAGTTGGTAATTAATACTTCTAGTCCAGAGGCCAGAATACTGCAGAGACAGTTGCTGTCAAGAGAAGCTACCTTCTCTGGAGTTACTATTGTCTCTTATACCTTCACTTATTCTTGAATGTACTTTGCCTATTTGAACTTTTGTTCTTTTTTTTTCTTGAGATAAGAACAAAGGTAACATCAAGGAATGTATCAGCTATCAATATAACTTATTTTCTTAATTTCAAAATGTTCTGACAAATTTTCTGTACCAACTCAACTAATCCAAAGTTATCTCTCTTTATGAATAGGATTATCCCATTAGCTCCGTTGAAGACAGACATAAACTGGCTGCTCAGGGAAAATTTGTAACTACTGAATTTGAGCCATGCTTTGATGCTGCTGACTTCATTAGAGCTGGGAGAGATATCTTTGTACAAAGGAGTCAGGTAGACAAAGATTTCTTTCAATAGTTTTGATGTCTATCTTGCAATGTTTTTTTTATATATGTTCAACATTAAAATGTAAGTGTTGGCAACAAAAGTTATTCATAGAATGTCTGACATCAGGGTGAAAATGTCTTCCAGATAAGAAGCTAGCTAAAGGCACAAACTTTTAATACTTATATATTTTCTTTGCAATGTAAATTAAGTTTGGATGCCCTCCATATTCTAGTCTGTAAAACTAAAGCAAAATTATTATTACTTTCCCCCCCTCAGGTTACCAATTACATGGGCATTGAATGGATGAAGCGGCATCTTGCACCAGACTATAGAGTGCATGTGGTGTCCTTTAAGGATCCTAATCCTATGCACATTGATGCCACATTTAATATCATTGGACCTGGTCTTGTGCTGTCTAACCCAGACCGTCCTTGCCATCAGGTGAGGTTTTAACAAAGGCAATTAGGAAGTGTTTTGTGATTAAAACTGACTTGGCTGGAATGGGTCCCTGTTAGACAATTGCAAATCCATTAAGTTTGTCATATGTGCCTGAATGATATTAAACCCAAGTATTTGGGCAGCACTCTGACATATTTAGGAATTTATATCTGTATTTTCTTCTCTCTTCCAATGGAACCTTTGCAGCAGGAAAGGGACAGTGTTCTCCTTGTCTCCTGCAAACAGCTCCTTGCTCTCCTCTGGTGAGCTAGTGGAAGTAGCTAATGTATTTTTCTATATGTGTAGTCCAAACTCAATGGAGTGATCTATTTGATACTAGACTGTAGCATCAAAGCAAGTGCATAAGATATACACCTTCTCTACCACTTCCACTACTTAATTATTTGTATCCAAAGAGAAATTGGTGATTTTTCTGCTGTTCAGTTGAGTCATATTTTCCTTTTATTTTACTTATTAGAGGCCCCTCCTTCAGTATCATTAATTGTACCAAGGACTAGAACTAGTAATTGCTCAGGTATTCAGATTTGAATAGAATCATAGAATGCTTAAGGTTGGGAGGGACTTCTAGAGGTCATCTAGTCCAACCCCCCTGCACACGCAGGGTCACCTAGAGCACGTGGCACAGGACTGCGTCCAAGCGGGTTTTGAAGATCTCCAGAGAAGGAGACTCCACAACCTCTCTGGGCAGCCTGTTCCAGTGCTCTGTCACCCTGAACAACTGAATAAAAAGAAGTTTTGGGGGCGATTTGGTTCAGAATGTAAAACTACTACTTCCCTGAAAAAAAGCTACTGCTTTGAAACAGTGTAAGATCAGAAAGCCTTGCAGAGGGTAAGCGCCAGCCTCAGCGTTACAGACCCGTTAGTTGTACTGTACCAGTGGTCAAGAGCTTGGTTAGGATGCCTGTTACTGCCAGGGTCTGTACAACCACATGGCAATAACTAATGAGCTGTGTGCAGCAGAGGTGAAGAAAACACGCACCAGCTCTTAAAAACATTAGTCTCTTCTCAGCAAGTGGCTTCAGTGCAAGTGGTTGTATCAATTCTTACCGCTTGCAATGACAATTATGAGACTATTTCTAAAAAGAACTAGTTTTCCCCGCCCGATCGTTGCTTGTTTTCAAATTAGGAGCGCCCTCTTGTGGTAACACTTGAATCAAAAGCTCTTCCAAGTATTCGAAATCCAGAAGCAAAGTCTCTAGCCAAATTGTTGTCTTATTTTAATCCTTGCATTTTGTAATGTATAGATATGAAATATTACTTCTTTAGGATGTCTGTATTTTGTTCCCTTTATTAATAAAGCTACATATGTTAGTGATATTAAGATTTGTGTGAAGCATGATGCAAAATTGTTTTTATGTGGTATTTCTGTTTCTATAAATGGTGTTACAATTCATAGCATCAGTAGTTCGTACAGCCAAATTAAGGAAAAATACTAAAAATACAGATTGATTAATATTATTGTGCTGTTACTAGTTTTACTTGACAGCATCTAAACTGCCTTAATTTTACTTTTCTTTTTAACATTTTCAGTATCTGATATTTGTGTTAGAAAAACAAAACAAACAAACAAAACACTCCATAGAACAAATGCTGATGGAAAAACAAAGCCTGAAAAAAAAAAATTGGAAGATGCTTATGTGAAAATTGGATTTGTGTATGGAATTTTAATGAGAGAAAGAGCAGTGAACTATGAAAAAGGGATGCAATCTGTATTAAAGTATCCTGAAAAAATCTGCCATAGGTTGGAGGAAGAAGCGTGATATTTAAGATCCCTGTTTAATATATAATTACTCTTTCAGATAGAGCTTTTCAAGAAAGCAGGCTGGACGGTGATTCATCCCCCAGTGCCACTCATCCCAGATGGTATGTTGAGTTCACTCTTTACTAAGAATGCTAAGAAAAATATTAACAGTATTTTCTGAGGCAACATTGGTACGTAATGTACAGCCATTATAGAAAGTTCCTTTTAATGTGTTTAGACCACCCACTGTGGATGTCTTCCAAATGGCTCTCCATGAATGTCTTAATGCTGGATGAAAAACGTGTGATGGTGGATGCCAATGAAACATCCATTCAGAAGATGTTTGAAAATCTGGGTATGTTAACTCATTTAACACATACTTAAAACTAAATGATCTTGATCAGCTATGCCTATCAGGATGAACAGAAGTTTCTCTCATAGAAGTCCAAGGAGCCAGCACTGGAGAAAATATCCAAAATTAGTAAGTTAACCAGTAAGAATCATTCAGTGAATTCTTTCCTCAATACTTCAGTCATATGAAGGTGGATTGTTTAATGTCATCTGCGCCCTACAGCTTGCAGGAAACAAAAGTTCTCATAGCAATTAAAACTGCTGCTGACATAGTTTTTGAGTGAGGTCTTTTAAAATAGAACTTGTTGTCTGTTCAGTTTGGAGATCAAAATCAGTCAACGAGAATGATTGTACAAGTGGCAGAGCGCTGTAGGGGTGTTTATCCCTCATGGCTGAAATGCCTTCAGATTTTCAAGTCTCAAATGCTTTTTTAAAAGTCATTTATGTTTATATTGACATATATTTCAGTGCATTTTTTAACAGTCTCTCTGAGAGTGAGAGGTGCAAGTCCATGGTAGGATAAAACTTCTTTAGCAAGAGTTCAGATATGCAGTATCAGGACAACTAACTGCATATAAAATCTAAAACTCATACAGTGACTGTACACAGTTAATTGCAAAGACAAATAAAACAGATTAAACTATTAGAATTAATTCAGTTAATCTTTCCTCATGCTGGAATGCAAGGATGTAGATAACTCCACTTGCGGTTCATAGTGAGTTAATCGGTCTCAGGGTAGTGAGACTGCTTGACGATCCATCCAGTTGTCTCATGCATCAAGGTAAGCATATGGTGGTAAAAAGCTGACAGTATAGTAAGACTGGTAGAGATGAAAAAAAGACAATGAGAATGAGGGAATACTTTATTGGAGAATAAGAATATGATAAATTCAGTAGCAAAAGACTTGGTAAAGGGAGAAATAAATGATGGGAAGGAGAGAATGAATCAAAGATAGAAGATAACTTTGAGCCTAAAGTGCTAGTGCTAGTGGAGGAGTACGCTTACCTTCCCTCAGATCTGAGGCAGATTCCAGGTGGGAACTATGGAAGCTAAAACTTTAATCTGATCTCTTAATGGTTGTCTGTACAACCTTTCATGAATAACTTAACTTTTCAGTTTTAAATAATTTTAGTTCTCTACATTACCAAAGAGCTGAGAATTTAAGTGCTTTGAAATGCTTAGGAAATAAGGCTTTCAGTGCCATGCATGACATCCTTCACATGTGAATTTCAGTCTGTGGTCACATTCTGAACAAATTCTTGTAGTCAGTAAGTTCCTAGGACTGAGATGGGTTACTGGAAATTTAAAGAATTGCTGAATTACCTGAAGGTTTCTACTGAGCTGCTTCTGAGTTGTTGAAAGCACCAAAACACAAAAGGCAGATTTCATAACAGAAAAATCTTCTTATCCTACTCCATCTCTCAGGGTCTTGTATGAGCTGAGCCACAGCTCAGACATCGGAGCTGAAAAGAAATAAGAGGAAGTTTCACTTGCACATAGGAAGAAAACATAACAGCTCTTCTCTTTCTGAAAAAACTCAGAGCCCCAAACTTTCAAGTGATGTTTTTCTAAAAAGGCACTTGAAAGAGCCCATTCAGTGTCTGGACTCTAAATGCAGATTTATATAAATGTGCTCTGGTCATGCGTCATATCAGCAGTTCAGCTAATTCTTCACATACGTACTGTAAAAATCTGTAAAAATTTTCATTATTTATTTTAGACCAGTACATCAGAACATATCAAACACTGGCTGTGATTCAGACACTCTATTCTTGAGGATAGAACTGGAATAAATAAGCAGACCAAGTTTTTTACCTTGTGTTTTTTTGTCTAGAAAGTGGAGACAATTTCTTAAACGGGTACAAAATCTTCTGTACTCTCATCAAGCCATATGATCTGTTGAAGCATTGCCTAAAGTTCTGAACAAAGCTCCCCATGTGAACTTGAAATTTTTATTTTTAAAGTATGAAATGTGTGTTTCTTGCAGGCATTTCTACAATTAAAGTGAGTATTCGCCATGCCAATTCCTTGGGAGGTGGTTTCCATTGCTGGACATGTGATATCCGCCGCCGCGGTACCCTGCAATCTTATTTTGACTAGTTATTGGTCATCTAAACAGCAGTGGTTCAGCTTCTAAAATAAGCATAGGAAATTATTAAATTTCACTATTTTCTGTAGAAACAGCTGCATGAGCTCTAGTGCTTGATCAGTGGTGTCCTTAGAGTGGTCTGGTGAATGATTTACTTACCTCCTCTTTGCATTAAGCAGTATAATTGAATCTACTTCCATCTGCAGCACAGGTTTTCTGGCTGGCTTTTTGAAAGACCTCATTTACTCATGAAGCCTTTTCACTGGCTTCGAAAGACAGCTAAAGGCTCCTGCTAGAATAGCGTGGCCGCTATTATTAGACATCTACCTCTGTCTAGTACTCTATCAAAAAGGCAGCTTGAAATATTGAACTTAACATTTCTTATTTCTTTAAATCAGTTTATTTTTCTAATATGCTACACTGTTTAATATAGTTAATACAGATAAAACTGTACATATCTCTTTGGAACCAAATAATTTTATAATGCTTTTCATGTTGGGCCATACAGATACGTTAGAAGAAATTTGTGTGGTCTGATAACTTTTAAAACCTTATATTTGCCTACTTGCCTTGTCCCTCATGACTACACTTTGCTCTTATGATACATTTGTCATGCATCACTGAACACTTTTTATATTGCTTTTTATATTGCTGAAATTAGTTTTTATTTAACTTTAAAGGTGTACAAATGACAGTTAATATGCTGCATCTCCAGGCTTCAGTTTGTGAGTTGTTTACATACAACTGTTAAGGAAAAAAAAGCTACAAAAAAAAAGAATTTTAATATTGATTACTGGATATGTAGTTTTTATGATAATAAACTTTTTTTGCATTCTCTGTTTGTGGTGTTGTTCTTTAGAAACAAATAAACATAAAGTATCTGACCAGGGTGGCATTTTTCTGTGAAATACCTCACATCTTAGGCATTTGAGTAATGCAGGAAATCCTTGTTTTTGCACTATATTGTTCATGTACGGTGTTGCAGCTGCTTTCTTGCATAGAAGTATCTAGTTAGTGGGGGAGAGGAGGAGTTAACCTGATTTAGACATTTATCAGAGTTTGAAGAGAACTAATTCATGTAATAGTGTGTCTCAGCAGATGTCTTGAACCACAAGAAATGCTTGAACTCTCTTTTCCAGTTACCATTCTGGGCACACATTCATGTGGTAGGCTGATTTGTGCTGTTGAATTAATGCATCGGTTTCAATGGTGGCCATCACTGAAAATAAAAAGGAAGCTGAAATAGTTGTCCACACCTGTTTAGGAGGAATGCAAAATGAGCATGTCACAAAATTAAATGATCATCTGAAATCTCAGCTACTGCAACTCCTACTTTGTGTTCACTTCAGTTTGATGTTTTTTTTTCTTCTTCTTCAGTTCATCTTAGAAAATTGAAATAAGCAAAAGTAAAGACAAGAAAGCAATATTTTTACAATGTTTTCCTATTTAGACCATGGCAAAGACAAATTTTAAAGTTCTCGAGGTTTCTTAAGTTCATTTGGAGAAGGTCTTCAAGAATGAGTGCTACTTTTCCTTGTAACTGGGGCTCTTTTTGGCTTACTTAGTTGGCTGGAATTTCTACATGTCTGTACCTTTTTCTCTCCTGTTAGGAAGATAAATTATATGTAAAGATCTGTATGTAGGCTCAAAATATCTCAATTTTTCTTTCATTTAGATGCCTCAATTTTATCTAATTTTAGATGCCAAAAACTCTGACTCTGTGAATATTTCAGTCTTTTCCCAGCTATTTTACTCTTTTTGTAGTGACTACTCTTTTTAACCTGGAACAGTGCACAAAGTACCAAGTGATTTTAGTATGGGAACTACCACTATCCTTCTGAAGTTGTTGGGTTTGGGGTGTTTTCTGTCAACCTTGCAAGTTTTTTATATCTAATCTTCAGATTTGTCTCTAGGTCGTGTACTTTCCTTCAGTAAGAAAAAATGAAAGATAGAATTATTTGTTCCATATGATCTCAAGGTTTCTGTTCAGTTTCAGCAATAATGTCAGAATATAAATTGGAGAGTCACACTAGCACAAATGCTTTGACATGAGTGAGTGTTAATGCCATCAGTCTGGGACCAAGGATCTGGTGCTGTGAATATTTTTGAGACATTTTCAGACCTGACTCATGTTCTTAAGTTGGTCACTTAGCCACTCTGTCTCCATGTAAGCAAAATTGCAACCACACCAGATACTCTATGGAGTACAGTGACGGTTAAACAATAAATGCCTAGGAACTACTCTAGCCTGTGGAATTTGTGAGCACTATGTGGAAATTCTGTAGGATCCTGCTCAAGTCTTCTGCAGCCCCAAAACAGGGCAGCCAAAGTTTATAGCTCTGCAATATTTTCCCATAAGTCCAGTGAGTGAGAATTTTTCCAGTAGTATTTTAACAACTTCCTCTGGATTGGATGTTCTGTACTACTAGCTGCAGAATTACAGAGGGTGTCACGCAGGGTCTCCTTTGTCTTATCAGTGCTCTTTGGGGATATGATGTGTCTCTTTGGAGAGAATTTAATGAAGAAGACAAGGGTACAACAACTACCCCAAAAAGGGTTTATTTTAGAACTCTAGGAGGCTTTCTTAATAGTGGAAGAACTGGAAAATGCTGAGGAGAATCAATGTTTTTCCCAGTAACCCATTTGAGGGGGAGTGAGGTAGAGATGTCAAAACCTGAAGAGAAATGACTAAGGCAACATAATATATAATATTGTTATGGTAAATGCCACCACATAATGCACATATATCATCTTCTAAATTATTTCTGCGTAAGCAGCAGTGGGTCAGCCAGTGTCACAGCTGGGTTTAGTTAGACAAGATCCTCGAAATAAGAATTTACGGTCAGGAACAGGAGGGTTTGGTTTCTGTCTTGAGATTCAATTACCATCAATTTTTTGAGGCCGAGTTACACGTGGGCAGCGCTGTTGGAGGAGATGGAGGATGAAAGCCTTAAGGCATTTGACCACCCCTGTTCCAGGGTAGCACTTTATATGTAAATAAACCACATGAAATGTGAGCTGCACTGAGTTTTCCGTAATTTGCTTTTCACTGACTGAGAAGGCCTTAAATACTTGTTACTGCTTGACTTTCAAACTAGACAGCACTTTAAAAAAAAAAAAAAAGGAGAGAGAAACACAGGCTTAACTGCAAGGCCCAAAACACTGTTGGAGTGGCAGGTGTCAGGAATTGTAACTAATCACTTCAGCTGCAGGTTCTTCAGGGCAGGCTGAGCTCAGCTGTAGGGAATTAGCTAATCTCTCCCTGGGTATGAATAGGGGAAAGCCAGGGTTTTCTTTTTTACTTTTGAAACCTGGCTAAAGCAGGCTTTATTGCTTACGGGACTCCTTTATAGCAGTATCTAAACCAGCAAAGCTATGGAAATAAGGTAAGTTATTTGAGGCAGGGACTCTTCTAATATATATTTGTAACTTGTAGTTGGGAATTCAAAGTGAGGTTATGATTTCAAGTTGGAGAAGGGGAATATTTTTTACTTTATTTCATGTAGAAGCAAAAGGCTTAAGACTGTTTCTCTCCAGTTATTTGCTTTAGGCTGTGTTTGTGGTAAACAAGTTGTCTCCTGAATGCTTCTGCTGTCTGGTTTAAGTAGTGTCTTTGGGTCCTGATGTTTTGGCTTATCTATGACTAAAACCTAAAATGCAAAGCTCATGAACAGTTATGGAGGTGCTATATTTGATACTTAAGAAAAACAGGCCAATGTCCTCATGTTTCTCTATAAAATTAATTTTGTTTTAAATATCAAAAGTTAGGCTACCTGGGAAAAATATCTTCTCCTATTGCTTTACACAGTGCTGGTGGGAGGTAGATTGCTGGAGCCACAATACTTCTACTAGTCAAAGCTGTTGCTGGAGTTAAATTCTTTGCTCCAGACTCACAGAGTGGCAGTGGCTTTTTAGTCCTGTTCTGGAGAGAACTCAGTGTGTTCAGCTGTGCTGGAACTGCCAGGATGCCCCTTGGCCTCTGGTATTTACTGCTTTCCAGAGCATCTGCTTTTGCTTCCTTTCTGTTAGAGCATTCTCAGAACTCAATTATGCAGGCAAAAAATAGCTTTATGATAATGAATGATGTCCCAAGTCAGTGGCTCATTCATGAGTTTATAGGGGATTGTCATGATTTATGTGCTAATGAAATTAGATATGTGAATGAGTAAGAGAACTTGCCAATCAGCTTCTTGTAGGGTATTCTTGTAAGCTTACTACTGTTGCAAATTGGGCAACCTTTTTACAAAAAAAGCCCAATCTAGCAAATCAAATGTACAATCTGTAAGATTTTATTCCATCTTCCTGTTCCCTCTGTGTCTTGCAGGACAAGAGGTGGATGCTATTTAACTAAGACCCAGTCTGAATGTCACAAAGGTATTTCTGGCTGTTGGGGATAAGCAGGAGGAGCTGTCACAGACAAAGGTAACTCCCTCAGCTATGTAGGTCTGGATGTTGTCTACACAAGTGACAGTTTTGGGGTGATGGTAGACTCATCTCTGCTTCTGTGGGTTCTCACATAGGGGGAAAAAAACAGGCTACAAATATTGTTTAGTGATATGTAACATGTGCTACTGCCTTAGAGCAAAGCTATTGTGAAGTAGGGAATTTCTTGCTCTGGTTTTAGTGCTTGCCTCTTAGGAGTTTTGGTTGTTTGTCTCATCAGGTTGGATTGACAGGGGGGAAAGGGACAACTACTATGTAACTGTGACTGATGAACTTGATATATTAGTCTGAGGCCTAGCCACATCTGAGGCACTTGGAGGAAGTGTGTATAAGGCAATTAGAACTTTGAGGGCCACTTGTTAAAAGGTCCATCTGCACCTAAAGATGGAGTAAAGCACCTTATGGAATTTCATGCATCCACATCTTAGATTATTAGATGAAAGCCAGCATAGCAGAAGCAGCATACTTGGCATGAGGACCTCTTGCCCTACCCCTGCTGCAGCTCTGAGCATCAGGTGCAGTTGGTGTTTCTGCTCTGAGGGGGCTGGGCCCAGGTCCACACGATTTGCCCTGCTGCTCTGTGCTAATGGCTGACGGGTGTGGGAGGTGGGTGCACAGCG